CCAAACGCATTTTAGGTTACTCAAAGCGCATTTTCCGACTGACATGTCTGTAATGGCATTCTATGTTCTCTGTGGTTACAAAACATCTTCACGAAAACCCTAAAATTCATTTTGGGTTTGGGAGGAGGATCTATTAGAGATCTAGACTGTGGCTCAGAGAGAATATTTTGATGGTCCTAAGCGTACATGTTTTGAGCCCCCAAAGTCCTGCGGCATTTAAGATATTATAATGGCCTATGCTCATTTTCCAAACGAATTGGCTTAGTTTACAGATAAAATGAAAGTTTTTCACATGGAGCATGTAACCCATTTTCGTGAGAACGCCTATGACCGTAGCACTCAAGTACTGAATACTCGTGATGTAGACGATGATCGACCTGTAGATCCTCTTGATTAATTTCTATTAACCTGATTTCTATGTGCTGCAATCTCCATCTTCCGTCCTAAGAATAACGTTGCCATTTACAGAGTATGCTTTCCAAATTTCGAAAATATTCAAATTCATGGATCAATGTTGGAAGTTCATGCAAGTTCTTTACTCAATAGGAATTCGTTCAAAAGCTATACAGTTTCTGACAGGTTAATTGATGTATCAAGACGGTATAATGGTAATTAATATACACATTCTCTTGTGGCGAATGTCTATAAAATGTTATAATATCCTTTTACCTGTAGCTGCAGTTGTAGTTAGAGCTTTTGCTGGAGCTGTTGTTGGAGCTTTTGCTGGAGCTGTTGTTGGAGCTTTAGTTGGAGCCGGTTTGTTAGCACCTGCACAATGATCCACGGTCCATAGGAATATTATTATCACCAAAGACCAAATATATTTCATTTTAAGCAATATCGAACAAATAAAAATATTTTTTTATATCTGAATTCCTTATTTCAAAAAAAAAAACAGTAAGGAAAGTAGTAAAGTCGGACGGGGCCGACTATATGATACCCTTCACCACTTTGAGTATATTCAACAGATGAATCCTAACAGACGTCGCATTTTTAAAGGACCAGTAAAATGAAATTGGAACCATAAGCACGTCATTCTGCAACCGATAATAAATTGTTCATTTGGTCAGATATAGAAGATATATTTAAATCTGAACCGATTTCAGGAAACTTAACACACATCTAGACAAAATTCATTACGCTGTGCCAAATTATTATATTAAGCGACTTTGGTGCACCATTTACATTAAATCGGACGAAAATATATATGGGAGCTATATCTAAATCCGAACCGATTTTCAGGAAACTTAACACACATCATTCTAGACCTACTTCATTACGCTGAGCCAAATTTAGTGCAAATCGAGAGATATATAGGGACTTCTGTGTACAATTTACCTTAATTCGGACGAAAATATATATGAGATCTATATATAAATCTGAACCGATTTTCAGGAAACTTAACACACATCATTCTGTCCCAAATTTCGTGCAAATATAAGGACTTTGGTGCACCATTTACATTAAATCGGACGAAAATATATATGGGAGCTATATATAAATCGACTCAAAAAGAGATTCTATGCATATTCTCAAAAGGAACCATGTGTCTATCTCGTTTCCTTTTGCCCTTATATGGGGGCTACCAGAAAAAATTGACCAATATTTATCATTTATAGTGGAGAGATTTGCTACCTAATAAGAACTCGACGTACTAAATTACAGTCAATTCGGTCAAAAAATACGATCAGAACCCCCAAAATACCAAACATTTGGGGGTACCGTTATATGGGGACTACCAGAAAAACTGGACCTATATTTATAATTTTTAGTGGAGTAATTTGGTACCCAATAAGAACCCAATGTACAAAAATTCAGAGAATTCAGTTATAAAAGTAGCCCAAGAACCCGAAAATACCGAAAAATGAGGGTACCCTTATATGGGGGCTCTCCGAAAAAATGGACCTTTATTTATAATTTTTGGTAGGGAGATTTGCTACCCAATAAGAACTCAACGTACAAAATTTCAGCGAATTCGGTCGAAAAATGCGATCAAAACCCCCAAAATATCGAAAATTGGGGGTACTTTTATATGGAGGCTATCCGAAAAAATGGACCTTTATTTATAATTTTTGGTAGTAAGATTTGCTACCCAATAAGAACTCAAAGTACCAAATTTCAGCGAAATCAGTTAAAAAATGCGCTCAAGAACCTCAAAATACCGAAAATTGGGGGTACCCTTATATGGGGGCAATCCGAAAAATGGACCTTTATTTATAATTTTTGGTAGGGAGATTTGCTACCTAATAACAATTCTAAGTACCAAATTTCAGCGAATTCGGTCAAAAAACGCGCTCAAGAACCTCAAAATACCGAAAATTTGGGGGTACCTTTATATGGGAGCTATGCCTAAACGTGGACCGATTTTCTCCAATTTCAATAGGGTTCGTCCTTGGGCCAATTAAGTGACCTGTGCCAAATTTCATCCAATTCGGATCATAAATGCGACCTGTACTTTGTTTACAATTTAACATGGACAGACGGACGGACGGACATGCGTAAATCGACTCAGAAAGTGATTCTATGCATATTCTCAAAAGGAACCATGGGTCTATATCGATTATTTTTGCCTGTTACAAACATATGCACAAATACATAATACCCTGTACCACAGTGTGGTGAAGGGTATAAAAACAAAACAAATGACAAAATCCCAACGAATATAATGGGAATTTGTGTAGAATGTGTTTGAAAAATACAATTGGAATTTGAATGAAATTTTGCACATGTTACTAATTTGGCCGAACTTTGGATACCCTCCACCAAAGGTATTCTGACAGTTACTTGAAATGCAACCAAAAATAGGTGGGATCTTTGTACAGGAAATGAAGTTTCATACCGAACTTTCGATACTCTCCCCGCGTGGAACTGTGACATTTTAATTTTCTATCGCCTAAAAAGGCATTTAAAGGCCATTAAAGGCTTCTATCGCATAAAAATTGCATTTTAAGGCCTTTAAAGACTACTATCGCCTAAAAAGGCATTTGATTGCCTTTAATTGGTTCTATCGCCTAAAAGGGGGATTTAAATTTTATATCGCCTAAAAAAAGGCATTTTAAGGCCTTTAAAGGCTTATATCGCCTAAAAAAGACATTTTATTGCCTTTAAAGGGTTCTATCGCCTAAAAGAGGCATTTTAATTTTCTATCTCCTAAATAAAGGCATTTAAGGCCTTTAAAGGCTTCTATCGCCTAAAAACGGCATTTTAAGGCCTTTAAGGGCTTCTATCGCCTAAAAGAGGCATTTTAATTTTGTACCTCCTAAAAAAGCATTTATGGCCTTTAAAGGCTTCTATCGCCTCAAGAAGGCATTTAAAGGCTTCGGTCGCCTTTAAAAAGGCATTTTAAGGCCTTTAAAGGCTTTTTTAGGAGGTACAAAATTAAAATGCCTCTTTTAGGCGATTGAAGCCCTAAAATGCCTTAAAATGCCGTTTAGGCGATCGCATAAAAATTGCATTTTAAGGCCTTTAAAGGCTTCTATCGCCTAAAAAAGGCATTTTATTTTTCTGTGGTCTAAAAAGGCATTTTAAGGCCTTTACAGGCCTCTATCGACTAAAAAAATGCATTTAAAGGCTTCTATCGCCTAAAACAGGCATTTTAGTTTTCTGTGGTCTAAAAAGGCATTTGAAGCCCTTTAGAGGCCTCTATCGCCTGAAAAAGGCATTTTAATTTTCTATCGCCTAAAAAGGGTTTTTTAAGGCTTTTAAATGCTTCTATCATCTAAAAAGGCATTCTAATTTTCTATCGCCTAAAAAAGGGATTTTAAGACCTTTAAAGGCTTCTATCGCCTAAAAAAATGCAGTTTAGTTTTCTGTGGTCTAAAAAGGCATTTTAAGGTCTTTAAAGGCTTCTATCGCCTGAAAAAGACATTTTAATTTTCTATCGCCTAAAAATGCATTTTACATATATTGTGCAGAAACACGCATCGAAATCATTGAATTTTTTTTTATTCTTCTGGAAGGTCAATTATTACAACTCAAATAAATTATCGTTGTAATTTTAATGTTCGAACAGCACGCAGTCAGAACATCATTAGGAACATAGTCTCCCGTTTTGAGGAACACGGAAGAGTGTTAGATCTTCCAGGAAGAGGAAGAGGTCGATCTGTGCGCAATGAAGCAGTTGTGGAGGCTGTACGACAGAGTGTAAACGAGGATCCACCTGTCTCCACTCGTCGTCGTTGTACTCAATTGGGAATCTCCCGAAGATCCCTGCAAAGAATTTTGAAGCGGGATCTTAAAATGTTTCCGTATAAAATTCAAATGGCACAGCAACTGCTCCCCCAAGACCATCAGGCACGCCTGCAATATCCCAAAGCTAAGGCAAACTCCCAAAGCTAAGGCGATTGGTAACAAACTCCTCATATTTATTAGATTTGAAGCGAAATTGTGCACAACGTAAATAACGTAATTTTTTTTTGGGGCAACTTGGACCGATATAGCACACCTTCGAACTTTACCTGCTTGGAGACAAAATATACGTCTATGTAAAATGTCAGCATCCTATCTCAATTCCTTTGAAGGGAATCTAATACTTACAACAGACGCAAGGAATATCCCTGCGTAATACTATGATGGAAGGCAGAAAATAAAGAAAAAGTGTTAAAATATACATTTTAAAAATGTTTTATTTCATGTATAGTAGTATATATAATATAATTATGCTTCGAAAATGTACATTCACATTTCTATAACATATCTAAGTTATATATGATTTGACAATGAACTAACGCGTAGAAGCATGCCTAAAACATGCCGCCAAATCGAAATCAAACATTGAAACAAATGTTAATTAATTCAAATTATCGCAACGAGCGATAATATCTTAACGATTACTTATATAAATACATCTTAAATATACATACATATATGAATAATAATAAAATTAATTTAAAAAAAATATATTAAAATTACAAATTAAAGCAAATTTGTTGGGGGAAAAAATTGCAATTGAAACAAAAAAAAAAAAAACGATTTTACACACACATATATATAAGAAATTTTTAATTTTCAATATTCTTTCTGTGTTGCATTTGCAATTCAAAGCGACGATTCGAACGAACGCCCTTAATAGCTGCCTCATTTTTACGTGAAGCGACACCAGCGCGTGCAGCCGGAACACGTCCCTTAAACATATCAATATGACGCTGTAAACGTGAAGCCATCTTATCCTGATTGCTAAGACCAGCAGCGGTTGTTGTTGGTTTCTTTTGCACAATAGATGTATTGGCCGCCAATCGACTTGATGCTGTACTAACGCCGGCTACTTGTGTGGACAAATTAAATGTTGGCTTTGGTTTAAACGAAAACGAATTGGCATTTGTTGATACATTAAACGATTGTGTTGGTTGCAAATGTTTTTTAGGCATCACGCTGCCGCTGCTGTTGGTGTTGGTAGTAGTTGTTGCATATTTTGGCTTCATAGTTATATGCTTATCATCTCTGGGATCGGGTAAATTAGAAGATGTTGTAATTTTCTCTGTTGACGGATTTTTATTTTGATTATTTGCAATTGGTATTTTCCTGGCAACATTGATAGAAGTATTTGCTGCCTGCTTATTTTGAGTTTGACTTTGTGATGATGTCATATCGATGCGCTTTAAAGCTTTAGGTTTTTCATTCGGATTGGTGTTGTTATTTTTCATTGATGTGCTAAAACTTTTCTGAGCAGATGCTGTACATAAAAATTGGAAAAAACGTAATGTTAAATACAATGCGGTTTGTTTTAAAGAAAATAAGTAAAATAAGTATTTTTTTATAATATTTTCCTAGAAATCTTTCATTATATTAAAATAAACATGTACTCTTCGTTTTTTATGAAAAATCTAATATAGGGACTTTGGTGCACCATTCACCTAAAATTGGACGAAAATATATATGGGAGCTAAATCTAAATCTTAACCGATTTACACGAAACTTAACACACATCACTCTAGACTTCATTCAGTACGCTATGCCAAATTTAGGAACCTTTGCTAACCTTCAGCTAAAATGCAAAAAGGCATAACTACCAAAAGTATAATTGTGTAGGAGAAGCAAAAAAAGAGTTTTGAATGAAAACTATAAACATGTCATGTGAAATGAAAAAGTATGCCCGGCAGGGTGATATCGCATATGACGAATAATAGACTATAATTTTTTTAACAAATTTAGTTGTTATTTAGTTTAATGGCCGTCATAACAATTATGTAAAATTTTGAATTTTTTGTTAGTTACGCCTTTTTGCATTTAGCAAATAAACCAACTTGTAGTTACGTCTTTTTGCTTTTTGTTAATAGAAGTTCCTTTTTGACCGCAGACGTGTAAAACTTTGTCAATACATGCAGTTTATTGACATTCACAATATTCATTCAAAAAGTCAATATTCAATTTTTTGTTAGTTACGCCTTTTTGCATTTTAGCTAACGATATATGGAAGCTATATCTGAATCTGAACCGATTTTCACGAAACTCACCACTTATCATTCTGGACCAAGAGATATTGTCTGGACCAAGATAATTGTCTTCTGGACATGTTTAAATCGACTTTAAAAGTGATTCTTTACATATTCTCAAAAGGAACCATGTGTCTAACCAGGGGATCAATTGAGAATATAAATAAGTTCTTGCTCTATAGCTACTGCAACAGAGGATGGCCTATATAAAAAAATTAACGAGTTATTCGAATTACCACCAGCGGTAAGACAAAACATTGCTTCAAATATCATCAAGTTGGAAATGCTTGTTCTTGAAATTCATGTTGGAATGTTAAGTAGCACATTGCGTTTATGTATTCTGAAATTTTCCAAATCGATAAATTTCCAAGTCAACATCAAAAACTAACGAAACATAAAATTTGTTGTATCAATATATCCCTCCTCTAGTATCCCTTTTATCTCTCCATTTGGTGGTTGGTATTTGTTTACATCCCCCCTACATTGCTATCACGCTTATACAAACACTAAGGGTTGTTTTTTCTCGTTTTCTACCTAAACTCGGGTTTGGAGTTTTCTACCTAAATAGAGACGTTGTTGTTGTTGTTGTTCTTATAATATAACAATTGGTATTTGTAGGGACGAATATCTCCACTTTACTCGAATTTTCATTTACTTTCTAAGCAGATACGAAAATATGGTAAATAAAAAGAAATAAATACAAACAAAACAAACTGTACTGGGTAAATAAATAAAACAAGTATCCCTACTCTTTTATCAAACAAATTAAGAGATATGTGTTATTATTTACCTGGTCTTGTTTTGCTGTTTGAGTTGATCAGAATTTTAGATCTTTCCTGTTTGCGAGCCACATGATCAGCTAAATTTTCCATTTTTTGGAACTGTTTCTGATGTATTGCAGCAAAATTTGGTAATTTTGTGCGTGTTGGCTTTATCATACTTGAAGAGGACGACGATGATGATGTCGAGGTTGTTGTAGAATTAAGGAATTGCTTTTGATTTGCCACTAATAATAAAAAAATAAAATAAGTTAATATTTTTGTAATCCAAAACAAATGAAATTTAGAAAAAAAAAACAAAAACTTACATGGACGTGGTAGTCTTGATGTAACACAAATAGACTTTGACATTGTCGAGTCATCAAAGGAATATGAACGTTTACGTCTTGTAGTTACATCTGTAATATAATAAATTAATACATTGTGTGTTCTTAAAATTTTCTATGATCTGTTTATCCAAATCTTCAATGATTGCAGTTTGATTAGCAGGACTATAGAAATTAACAGCTTTTTGTTGGGCCTTTTTGGCACTTCTGGTAAGCTTAGGTGCGGCCGACGCCGATCCCAAACATACGGACAGCGAACGCTTACGTATACCTCTTAAGACAATATCTCTTGGAGTCATGGTTGTTAGTTCAGATGTACTGAAATTTAAGTTTTCCTTCTTTAAAGGTAATTTTTTGCCACTACCATGCAGTTGTTGCGGTTCCGATTTAGGTTTACTATCGCTTTTAGTGCGATACGGTGTTAAATGCCGAACAGGCATTCTCGATTGTTTGGGTGTTGAGGGTGATGATGGAATTTGATTGCTAAACATAACTTTCGGTTTTTTCTTCGCCGGTCCCAATTCATCCTCCTCTTCATCATCAGATAATTGAAGTTTATCCATTTCTGTAGATTCGGTAGAAATTGCAAAATCACTACCTTTATCGATAGTGTCATTTGCCAATGTGTCTTCTTTAGCTGCATTAGTTGTTTGGATGCCGCCTTCATTAATAACAACTTTATCTTCAGCATCGTAAGTTTCATTTAGGTTAGCACTTTCTTTTTGAGATTTCTCATTACCTTCCACCACCTCCTCCCCTTCATCATCATCATCACAGAGAATTAGTGAAGGCATTTCCTCTGGCTGTTCGGCAGATGCCAAAATTTCATATTCTGACTTTTTCACCTCTTGTTTAATGGACGATACTGCATCTGTTTCATCATCATCATTGATGGGATTTAAACCCAAATCATCCATATCAATTTCTTTTGATTTCAAATAAGAACCAAAGGAGTCATTTTCTAAGCTTGGTTTTTCATCCACTTCCTGCTCAATTTGGGTTTTCAAGTGTGGCGTTTCTTCCTCTTTTTTCTCAGTTTGTTTCTCTTTTTTTATTTCTTCAATAATGGAATCATCTTTAATGGATATCATTGATATGTCCTTGCCATCTTCTTCTTCGTCTGGGACATTGATATCATCTTCCTCTTCCATTTTTAATGGTGGAATATCGTTTAACTTATCCTCTGGTTCTTCTTTCAATTCCTTAACAATATTTTCCTCCTCCTCTTCTTCTTGTATCAATTGGATATCTTCATCATCAGCATGTTTATCTTCATTCTGCATTTGAGTTATTTTATCTTCTGCTTTTTCTTCTGGATCATCTTCTATTAAACAGATTACTTCTTCTTCTTCTTCTCCAGTAGTTTCCTCTTCCTTTAACTGGCACTTTTCATGCTCATCTTCGTTTTGTATTAAATTAATCTCATCGTCAACAACATGCTCCTCTGGGCGTTCTTCATTGCTAACGCATACATCTTCCTTCTCTTCTTCCTTGACAGCGGAACCCAAAGCATTCTCCTTCTTCTCAATATCTTCATGTACAGTATGTACCATCACCTCGGAAGTGGTCAAATCTTCAGTCTCCTTCTCCTCTTTGACTTGTACAGTTGCATCATTGTTTTCTTCAAATGCATGTGAAGAAACATGAGCACCGCCGCCGCCTCCACTTGGTTCCTCCAATGCAGTTTCATTTAAATTCCTCTTACCACGACCTGTGTTGTTGGTGTTGCGTCTAGATTTTCGTGTACGTTTCGTTGAAGATCTACCAACACTTGCTGCCGTCCACTTGGGATGTTCTTCATCGTGGTCATTCTCATTTTCCTCATTGTTTTCATCAAATGAGTTTAGTTTCTTCCTAGCGGATCGCCTTGCGGACTGCTTTACAATATCATCGTAATCCTGGGGTGGCTTAATACTCTTACGACAACTCCTGCGTGGTGTTTGGAGCATATCCTGCAACACGGATTCCGATGCCTGTGGTGTACAAGCAGTTACCTTTTGCCTCCTTCTGGTGGAAGGAGTCTTCAACAATGGTTCCACTGCGTCATTCTTCTCATCGATTTCTGTCTCATCTTCGCTTTCATCCTGTGACAATATCATTTCAACTTCTTTTTCCAAATTTTTAACTTTTCTTGAACGCCTTGATACATTTTCAAGGGTATGGGTTAGTGGAGCTATAGAACAATGATGAGATCATATTTAAGGATATTTTCACAACAGTTTGCCTGCACCAGAAACTTACCCCCATCACAATCATTTGTAGTTTCCATTCTGTATAGTTGCACAAATTATTTTCCGTTTATTTTCAATACTAAAAAGCAACTAGAAATCTAAAATTATATTAATTCTAACAAGAGCGTCACTTGCTGTTGTTTTCCCTTCAGTGAAAAATATTTGAATGCCGTTATATTTTCAAATGTCCACCAACAAAGCTTGGTATGCTTGGCAGCACTTTTTAGGAAGTGTTTGTAATGCAGTGACATATGCAAAAGGTAATTGCTGTGTAACTGTAGGCAGCATTTAGATGGGGCATAACAAAATAGAGGAATACAAAATGTTTTACAGACAAACACTAAAGAATTAATTAATAAATAATTATATTTTGGTTGATTATAGGAAATAAAAAAGGCATAATATTATAAATAATACGAAAAAAAGTAAAATAACGTTTCAATGTTTCTCGCAAAAGACTTTTTGGTAAGAAATATTTATCAATATGTTTATACTTTGGTTAATTGTCAAGTGACCGGCTTGGATTATATAATTCTGGATAGTATAGGAAATTGATAAACATAATACAATTGTAATAAAAATAATATTTTCCTCTATGTATTCATATTTATTTTCACAGTGTCTGGACTACTTTGTTACAAGAATTTTTTGACATTTCAATTAATTGACATTTAAATAACCATATAGTAATTTTTGTCGTTGTCTGATGAAAGACGAACATGAAAGTCAACGCTATTGAACAAGCAACATTTGGGCAAGAAAGCGTGTCATTCAAGAATTATAGTGTTTACACCGCTTTAAAGAGGTTTCATGATCAGGATATTTAAAATAGGAGGCTTTAATATCTTTTCAATCGACTCGATTTTTAAGTAGAGTAACAAGATATTTGCGGTAACTAAATCTAGATAGGGATAACAATTTCGTGGTATCAAAAGTAATCGTAAATAAAACTCACAAAATATTTTTTAGATATAACTTTTTTATTGTAAGGTTTTAACTTTGACATTATTGGTCTGTTCCAGAACCTGCAAGAATGTACAATTTTTTATTACGATACCAATTTTTCCTTTATGATATCGAAAAAAATGTGTGAGACACGATATATGGTCCGTACTGCAAGAATCTACTCGACATTACTATGTTCTTCCATATCATAAAGGAAAATTCTTTATCGTAGTAAAAACTAGTATATTCTTGCATTTCGGGAACATACCAATAATTTAAATGAACTCCACGGGAACATATTGGGCGGTATCTCAGCCATAACTTTTAAGGGCTCAAGTGTCTCAAAGCAAACAAAAAATCGGCAATCATAGCGCTCCGAAGAAGTAAGTTTCAATCACCAATGCTAGGCTGAAAAAATAACATTGCTTTAAAAATAATATTTTCTTCCATATCATAAAGGAAAAAGTAATTCCTTTAAAAAGTCTTGATTTAGATTAGGCGAGTTTACTTGCGGCAAGTCTTTGTTTGTAGGAGAGAGGGGCAAGGGGAATAGAAATGAAAAAAAAATTGCTCGTACCGACAATTTTCTGGCAATTCGTTTTGTGTATTTCGTATTTGTTGACATTTTATATAGATTTAAATGTGAAAAACCAACAAATAGAAAAATATTTTGGAAACCGAATTGCCTTGTATAAACGCATGAAGCAAGTTCAAAAGAGAACGACAAGAATTGCCGCAAGTAAACTCGTCTAATCTAAATCAAGACTAATTAAGTTTTTTCTTTTATTTCCATTTTTTTAATTTTAATGAGCAATGGTCAAACGAGAAAATGAGTGTGGGGAAGAATTAGAAAAATCATAAATTTGACGCAAGTATTATTTGCGAGAAGAAATTTTGTCATGAAAG